AGCGACTAATATTGGAAATCATTCGAGCCTCTATATTACCCGAGGAACCTTGCCACAACGTAGGGACCTACGGATATCAGACCAGGACTACCACCAACACCACCACTACTACCTCCTTCAACACCCCCTCCATCTCCTCCTCCATCTATCATCATGCACGTGACTGTATGTGTACCGTAGAAATTCACAATCTAAACATTGATGTGGCTGGCCGTTTGGCGACAAGAGTCCGAAGCCAAAGCTGGTTAAGGGGTTGAGGGGGCATTTAGAGTTGGTGCAGGCAAAATAATGTGGCATAAAACAGAGGTTTACACAGGGCTGAAACATGTATGACCTCTGTGGAAGAAAACCCCACCACCCACCCGAAAGGGAAATCTTTCCAATATAGTGCCAGTATTTAACGGCCAGAACATCAATCATTAGTGGTGTCGGCTTTATTACGGGGCAAACTGTTACTTGAAGCTTCACGGGACTCAGTAATCCCTTGTAAATAAGCTTATAACCCTATTTACAATCCCCCTAAGCGGACGTATGTGGGTTACCGAAATGTAGGTAGGGTTATAAGTTATAAGCTAAAAGCTCAGTTCTATGTAGTTACCAAGTCCCATGGATGCAGCCTTGTATCTCGTATCATATCTCTAATTCCTGACCCCACTACTCTCCATGAGAACTTAATTCTTATGGCGTCACGGGGAATACGTAGGAATTGTGCTGCATATTGATTAAACATATCCCGGAATACCCCAGGACATGCATCTGTGATCCCTTCTTCCCAGTTTCCCGCAGATCAACGCCAGCCTTGCAGCTGACGCTGTTTGCATATGGGTATACTGGGGCTATATACGGGTAAAATTGGGGGTTACAGAAGGCTTATATTGGAATTTTGGAAAATAAATTGGAAACTACTATTTAGGGTTTAAGGTTTAGGGGCTATTCCCAGGGCCAAGGCCTGATGCATCTGCAAGCAGGACAATGCCGGTTACAAGCAACTACCCATATCTACCCAAAATAATAACCCTACGTTCAACAACCCCTAACTGAGCCGAATGATGAATCTGCAACATTGAAGGTGTAACCCTCAACGTTAAACCGCGCGGCATTGAGAAGGGGGGGAGGCTACAAGTTGACTTTCAAGCAACACCTCGCAGAAGCCGGCTATGGCAGTTTCCACAAATGGGCGGCCCCAGCTTAGGCCCCCAAAAACTATCATCCCCATTGTACGGACTCCGAAAAAGGTTCCCCTAATTTTTGGAAACGCCTAAAATCTTTCAGAATTGCAAATGGCATGCCAGATGTCAGATACATCTGCAACCGAGATGCCGTACGCCTCCAGCACAGTGTCTAAAAGTCGGGCACGTGATTGTGCAGACCTGCAAAGCAATTGAAGCCAAGCCAAACTGTCCACACGAAGCTATGAAGATCATTCAGCTGTAACAGATACCCGGACTCTTGGAGACTGCAGGCTTTCTGTGACACAATGGTTTGACAGTCTCGATCTGCTGAGAGGGCCCCTAAAAAGCCTTGCCCTCATCCATCTAGGTTGGGTCATTCCCCCTTACAGTAACTGTTGCCACAATGGCTTATAGGAGTTATAAGAACCCCCATAACAAGGCCCCTTTAAGGACAGTTACTGGGAGGCGGAATGACCCAACATCTAGGCAAGTTACCTGCCACGCACGCGCTGTGCCGAGGATATGTCTGCAAAGACCCCAACGCCGCGGGAGGAGGCTGCCGGCACTGCCTGAGATTCGCAATGCCAAGCCATCTTGCAAAAGCTCTGATCCACGAAGCACTTCATCATCTGATCTTGAACAGACATCAAACCCCCATGCTTCGCCTCCAAATGGGATTTCCAAAAATCATGAGTGATATTCTAAATCCTACAAAACCCTATATAACCCTTACAGCCGTATATCAACTACCAAATGCAGCCCGAAGGCCCAGCAGCCGGGCTCCAGCACCATTTCTCCATCGAGCCTTGCCTGGAAGTCACCATCCTTTACGCGCCGCGCTGGGAGAAAGAAGCGGGTCCTGCAGGTTCAGAAGCACGAAAGATCGCATCATCTTCAGAAGCACGAAAGATCGCATCATCGTCATCATCGTGAGGCTACTGTCGTTCCCCATCAGTCGACACTGGGGCTGCGCTCAAAGTAACACGAATTTTCACTGCTCTCCTCACTGTACGGCTAGTAATTGCACCCTTGCATGCGTTTGGGATCGTTCGGATGCGCAGTCGCTCAGTCAACGGTTTTTGCCATCATATCTGCCCTGGTTCCGCGGCTCTCGCATGAAGCATCCTCACAATAATTCTACACTCTCACCACGCTTTCAACAGACCCACGCCGGCTATCCTCATAGCTATCGCCGCATCTGGACTCACGAACGCACTTGTGGCCTGATCCTCTTGAGGCGGTCCACTACGTACTTGGAATCTACCCCTGCAGCATGGTTCTTGGACTCGCCACTATTCCTCCTGCAGATTACCATCATCACGGAACTTATCTGAGCTACTGCCTAAACTCCTAGTATCCCCCCCAATATCCCCTATAGTAGTCCTCTATATAACTCCTTATATAACCTTTTTTAAGGAGCTTAGACCTAAACCCTATAATGGTTTCCATTTTATTTTCCATTATCCCAATATAAACTCAATATAACCCTAATATGACCCCAATATAACCCTCTCCTTGCAAGACTCCGCCGCGCTTTCTGAAGCTCTGGGCTCGCCTCACTGGAGCCCTGTCGCAGCGTAGCCCTCCGGCATGCCGTGGCCTTGGCTGAAGGTTAGAGGTTGGAGTGTTATGTTTAGGGTTTGGGCTTTGGGGTTTAGATTTTTTGGGCACCCTTCTTAAGGGATCATGCTTGCGATTTACAATGAAATCACATTGGAAGTACAGTGTGTTATGAGGGTGCTTTGAAGTGGAGTTGCTGGCATGTGCCCAGTTCTGACATTGTTTGCTGCGGCTGGGGGCGCGCACAAATCAACCTCATAGCCTGGTTTTCTTCGACGCGTCGCCACGTGTTGTTGGAGGCAACTAGGTGCACCCGAAACCTTTGAGGCCAAATAGGCCTGCTTGACATCCGCAGTGTTGGTATACCACTCTGCTGCAGGGGTGGCAAAGGGCGGGCGTCATGATGTTTATTGTTTGCTTCAATGGGCCAAGTTGGACTTCACTCATGACACGATATCTCAAATGGAAATATGGTTCCCCTGAAGCCATTCTGTGCTTGCTGGCGACCAAACTCATCTTCTCTGACACGGTCGTGGGTGGCGTCTGCAGCGCCACGTTGTCATGTCGCAGGCTCCTCATCTGGCAAGTTGCCATGAGCGGACTGCCCAAAAGCCGTTCCAAACATGAAAAGAACCGCTTGCGGAACCAAGAAGCTCTTGGAAGGCTCGATCAAGCTCAGCAGCCGAAGGCATTCCTAGATCCTGCAACTGATTGCCATACAGAACAAGAACTGCATACTATAGGAGCATTACTGTTATTATTGTGGGGGATTATATAGGGATGGTGGAAAAGAAAATGGAAACTACTATTCAGTCTTTTGGGGGAATTGTCAACATTATGGCTTCCTATGAACAGAACTACAGCACTCTGTGCCAAACTGTAGGGCTGGCCACCTGAAGAGGAGGCGCCGGGTCCGTCATGCCCCATAGGAATAAGTCATCCAGAACGCCAGCACTTGACATGGCAGAGGCCATGGCTGCCAGCAGCTGCCTACGCAAGGCCAACGGGCTAGCTGACTTACCTGCGATGAGAAGGGATCATGAAAAAGAATGTGGAAGCTACTATGTGGGGTTGTGACTATAAGGGTACTTACTTGCATCCATGACAAGCATGATGAGGTCGACAGCCGGAAACAAAGTCGAAAGCACAGCCTCAGCAGCCCTTACATGAGCTCTAGTCGAAACTCCTAGTATCCCCCCTTAATTACCCCTACATAATCCCCTATATAACCCTCTTTATGGAGCTTAGACTATTGCTTACATCACATTGGCAGGACGGCTGGCCCGAAACGCCTCCGCCATCATCCTACAAGTTCTGATCATCTGCAAGTCATGAGGATTCTAGTGCCACTGCAAGACGGGTAGTAAGAGTAAGAAAGTAGTACTAAGAATAATATTAATAGTACAAGTAATAATAAAGGATAATAAGAATATAAGAATTGAAAATACAGATATAATAATGATGAGACTATATTGATAATGCTGACATATACTCATAGAAGAATGGTGCTAGTTACACAAACAATAACAGCGATCATCATAAAGGTACTATGGAGAATAGTAACCTGGAGCTTCAGGTAACCTCGAGCTTCTGCCCATTTTGCCACAGTGGCTCAAACAGCGCTTCGGGCCCTGAACCTTTGGGGGCGGGGGGGTTGTAGGGTATGAAGGAAAGGGTTGTAGGGGTTTAGGGTCTACAGTTCCAGGGATTCATTCCCCCGCTTACTACTTACCACCCGTAAGTAAAGCTGGATAATGCTGGGTATCTGTTAGACGGACCCCTCATCCTGTAATAGTGGTATTGTAGGAATATCAGAGGATCCTAATATAATCACCGTTATCCCTTGTAGTCCCTATTACTGGGTGGGTGTCCATCTAGGGTAGCTGGTGAAACATCAGCCTCAGGTCGACGGACTGAAGCAGAGCTTACCTGCAATTTCGAAAGATGCGACCGGGCGTGTGACAGAATTTCGATCTCTATATAGGGGATTCGAAAACCGTTGGGGGCACCACATGACAAGGACCACAGCCGCATAGCCTCTTGCAGTATGTATCCATCATAATTTAACCCCTAAACCCCAAACCCCTAAAACCCTATTCCATTTCATTTTCCATTTTCTTTTCCATTTGATTCTCCATTATAGGGGTAATATAGCTTAATTTAAGTTCCTTAATCATAACCCATAGATACTGGGACGCTTACTACACTGATCCACAAAGACGCAAGCAGCTGGCGAGCCTGCTCGCAGCAAGCAGCAAAGGCTGAAAGTCACCTGCGCCCTGAGTAGCCAACAGTAATAATACCAATAATGATAAGAAGAATAATAATAGTAATAGTGATAAGAATCGTAATAGAAATATTAACAGTAGTGGAAGTAGTGTTTATAGTAATAATAAGAACAACCATAACTCATAATGGTGAGAATGTTAATAATAATAGCTTTGTGGGACAGGGATTGGGGTTTGGGATCGGCTGCATGTGGTTGTATAATACAATAGTTTCCACTTCCTTTTCCATTCAACTACAACCCTCTTTATCTTGATGTAGCCCCACAAATATGTGGGGGTTTCCCCAAATTAGGGGTACTTTTTTGGGCGGTGCCCATAGTAAGGATTATAGTATATTGGGGTCTATGTTGGGGTCCCCCTATTTAGGGAAACTACCATATTATTCCGGATCAGCCACCCTAAACCCTCAACCCTAAATGGGAAGGCAGCTTTCTCCGCTGAGATGGGCGCTGCCCTTCTTGCCCCTGGACTTCTGCTGGTGCATCTTCCTATCACAGCACACCACTGCTCAACCTGCTGCATACGGCCCTAGGCCTTTTCTAACTCCTAGAATCCCCCTTATCACCCCTACAATGCTCCCCTATATAATCCCCCGTATACCGCTTTGAAGAGTTTAGGCTATAGCTCATGGAAAACATCCAATGTAGTGCGAACTGAGTGCTTTCATGCGAACTATAGTCTAAACTCCTAGTATCCCCCTTAATAACCCTTATAGTAGTTCCCTATATAATCCCCTATATAACCCCCTTTCAGGAGTTTAGACTATAGCTCATGTCACGGAGGTGTCCTTTTGACGGCTCGCTCGGAGGTACCTTCATCCTGCAAAGACAGAATCCCTGTAGTAGTAATGATGATAGAGATAACAATAATGGTAATAGTGATGATAATGATAATAGTAGTAGTAGAACCTATAATAGTAATCAAATGAGCACTAGTAATAGCAGAAAAACTAATAATCGTAAGCTTTTGGGCTCGGAGATAAGAGTATGTCACTGCTCTGCCAGCTATTCCGTAAACCCTAAACCCTAAACCCTAAACCAATACGACTTAACACCCCAGCAGAGTCAAGCTGACAAATGCGCTGTCATGGACCTTTTGATGACAACCGGTTTAGTGTTTAGGGTTCAGGGTTCAGTGTTTATGGTTAAGGGTTCAGTGTTTAGGGTTAAGGGCTCAGGGTTTAGAGTTGCGGGTTTAGGGTTTAGGGTTCAGTGTTTGGGTTTGGGGTTTAGCGCGTCCCACCTTTGCGTCTTTACGCGGAGGAATCCCAATCCGGGGCAACCCTCACCGCGTTGACATCGTGCCCATCCCAGGTGAGCTACAGTGAAACTCCTAGTATCCCCCTTCACCACCCATAGGGTTCTATAGGGATTGTATAGGGGTTCTGTGGGGAATATGTACGTACGAATAATGGAAAAGATAATTGAAACTACTAGAGCTGTGGTCTAAACTCCTAGTATCCCCCTTACTAACCCCAATAATTGTCCCTTTTATAATAACCTATATACCCCCCTTTAAGGAGTGTAGGCTATATACAGCTCGTGTGGTAGCTCAGCAAAAGTTCTTGTTCCCAAAATGACCATTATGATAACATACATCCCCTTCTTTTCTCCCTCATAGACCAGGATTTAGGGAACAATTTCCCCAAAAAGACATTTTGATCAACCCCACATCCCTCCCGTAGCCCCAATCCCTATAAACCACTGCATAATCCCAGTTTCCACATGATGTTGCATTATGCGTGACAATAGCCCTAAACTCTACCACTATCTCAATATAACCCCTACGTAACCGCAATATAACCCCTATATAACCTCAATATAACCCCTATATAACCCCCAATATAACCCCAATATAATATATAACCTCTATAAACTACCCTATAATCCCAGTTTCCATTTCATTTTCCCTTTTCTTTTCCATTTGATTCTCCATTATAGTAGTTTCCATTTGATCTTCCATTACATTCCATTACCCCTGTCTACTCTAAACCCTAAACCCTAACCCTAAACCCTATATGGAGTGGAACCTGCTCCCTCAGCTCGAGCTCGGTACTTCGCAAGGCCTCGGCGCACATTTCGCCAGGCGCCCGAAAGGGTCCAAAAAACTGGGTCGCTGTTAAGGAACCTAAATTAAGTTACCATAATGGGTATATATAGTAAATAATGGGGTTTCCCCAATATAGTAACTTAATTCAAAAAAAAAGGGAACCGCCCAAAAATAAGCTCCATATAGGGGTTCTATTAGGGTTTAGGGTTTAGGGTTATATTGGGGGTTATATTGGGGGTTATATAGGGGGTTATATTGGGGGTTATATTGGGGGTTATATTAGGAGTTACAGTGGGGGTTATGTTGGGGGTTATATTGGGGTTATATTGGGGTTATCTTACATTGGAGAAAGCAAGCTATACTTGGGAGGTTCCAGTGTAGTCTTTAGAACCAGCTCCCAGCGCATAAGATGAAGCAAGCTCAAGTGGATCAAGTAAATGGATGCTTCATCTTCCCGAGGCTTCAGACTTTGTAGGGTTCTGGGCTGATGCAAGATCAGAATGAAATTGAAGGCGGGATTCGCCCACAGGATGTGTTCCGTGAAATGCTGGTCTGTCGGCACGAATGTGCGGGATAAATCATTCCACTACCATTCCTATCATCACCGTAGCCGTTACACTGCCAGCCCAAGGGCAGCCCATCTGCCACCATCCCCGAACAGCGCCCTGGATGCAGCCAGCCTCGAGCACGCGCTCGTGGCTTGCTTTGACCTTTGCATCAACCAGCTCTGTGAACTCCTCCAGCAAAATCTTGTTCTGAGAGCTTTTGTGCTAGGGTTCTTACGCAGGGGGTGGGGGGAAGCAGCAACCTAAACCTAGGTGTCGACATGACATGGTTGGCTGTTGTGAGTATGTCAGGTGCTGTAGTTAGCTCAAGCAGTCAGAGCCTTGTATGGCCTGTTGTTGCTATTTCAGCAGCACTACCTGAAGATCTGGGAATGAGGTTGGGCAAGGCTCCCGCCGCCTCGAAAGGAATCCTGATTCAATCTGTGTCCACTAAAGTCGGTTCACATCGTCTTGAGTATGTCCAAGAGGAATGCTGGAGCAGGAGCCAATGCCCAGTGCCGGTCCAACTCTCCCCTCAAGATTGCACAATCGAAAGGGCTGTCCACCCTAAGCCATATGCCCGCTTAAGACCGGGTCCTCCAGCTTCTTACCCAAGAAGTGCTCAACCCGCTGGAAGAGCTCCACGTCGTACTGCGTCACCTGAAGACGGAAGCGTGTAAATTAGTGAAGCCTTCACTGAAGTCTCATGGAGCTAGTCTCTAACATCCTGCAGCCCGGGCCATCGTGACTGCTCTTCCACTGCGCCCAGCTCGCGCTGTTCGCCCGACTCGATGGATGTAGTCCTGGCAGGTGGCTGGCCAACCTTGATACTTACACTGCACAAATGGGATGGTTAGGGGGCAGAAGAATAGAGCTGACGTGTCCTTGGAATTCTTGGGGATGTCGTAGTTCACCACCTGGGACAAATCCAGAAATCTTTGCAACATCGCTCATAGTTGAACAAATTCCGGCTACTCCTGCAATACGACTCCCCATCACATCCCTTTCCTAATTGCCAATTCTGTCGATACTCCAGCATGAGCCCCCCACGAGATCCACCGAGGGAACATCCAACCCTCTCGAGGCAACGTCTGTGCACACCAGGATTCTTTGCTCTTTGGCCTGCGGCTCATAGGCAACTGGGCATCATGGTAGGTTCATGGGTTGCACCTGCTACCCCAGCATACTATCACCCCTCCCCAAGCTTCACCATACTCAGGATTATTCAAGGGTGAATGAGCCCAATAAATGCTATAAGAAGGAATCTAAGGGGGTGTAGGGGCAGTGGTAGGGGAACGCAAGATAGGTGCACGCAGAGGAAAAAGCGAAAGGCGCGCCTTGAATCCGCTCAGAGCTCCAAGTCTCTGTGCCTGCGGTGTTGGGCTTAGGAGTTTTAGGGTTTAGGGTGTTCAGTTGCAAGGGCCAACCGGTGCAGCCGACAAGTGTCGATCTGGGTTGAACCCCAAAACCCTCAATTTCCCTAGAGCCCCTAGTTTCCACAATCTTCACGTGGTTTTTCCATTTGATTCTTCACTTTGGGGGTAATATCCTGACACAACCCCCTCAGAACCTCTATCTAGCCTGTATATAACCCGAAACCCTAAATAGTCGTTTCCATGTTCTCTTCCATTATTCCTAAAGACCCCCCAACCCTAAGCCCTAAACCTAAACCGCACTATAGTAGTTTCTCTGTTCTTTTCCAT